AAAAAATCATAAATATGTTTTAAATATATAAAATATTAAATAAAGAAATAGATTCTAGATTAAACATATTGTACGGCACACTTTTGTTCCAATTTTTTTCCTTTTGATTATATATTTTCTATACGCGTTTTGTGACGTAGAAATAAAAAACTTGTTCACTTTTTACATAATTAAACATAATAATTTTACATAATTAATGTAATAATTTTATATGTGTAGGATACTATGTATCAATATAAAATTTAGAACATATTTTTTTGTTGCTTACAGAGATATTTTTGTTGTAAAAACTAAAATGCAAAGTAATGTGCGTTCAGTCTAATAACTTTTATTTTTGTTTTGTTTTTTTTTTATTTTTGTTTTTGTTTTGTTTTTTAAGCGTTAATAAAATACAATATGCAATTTGTACTCATTTATTGCATTTTATTACACATAAAAATAAAACATGAAACGCTTTTTTCATTCGAATCAATCAGCATATAAATCACATCCGTCGCCCACAACAGTGCGACTCACGTGAATATTAACGCAAATTATGTGCGTATACAACAAATAAAATGAGGAGCGATTTTCTGTAGTTATTAGGTGTACAAAAAAGTTCTGAGCTTTTTTTTTGTAAAATTCAATCTTTATTCAAAAACAAACAAAAAAATATTAATCAGCGAAATATTCCCCGTTTGCATCAACGACCTTTTGCCATCTTTCGGGTAGCTTGCGAATTCCTTGATAGAAGCTCACCGGCTTTGAAGCGATAAAGTCATCAATGCATTTTCGTATCTCTTCAAATCTCACGAAATGTGTATCAGCCAAAATGATGCTGCAGCGACCGGAATAGGTAGTAATCGGAAGGCGCCATGTCTGGGCTATACGCCGCGCGCGGGAGAAGTTCCCAGCCTAACGCAAAGATATGATCCTAAATCGCTTTCGCAACATGTGGTCGAGCATTGTCATGAAGCAAGATCACTTTACAACGTCCTTGGCCAGTAAATGGCCTCTTTTCTTCTAATGCATCGCTCAAATTGGTCAATTGTTGTTGTTAGCGGTCTGCCGTGATTATTTCACCCGGTTGTAACTCGTAATACAACACAATCTTTCCAATCCTACCAGATACAGAGCAAAACCTTCTTGGCGTGGATATTGGGCTTTGGCATCGATGTCGAAGGTTGACCAGGGTCAACCCATGATTTTCTACGTTTAGGGTTATCATAAAGAATCCACTTTTCATCGCCTGTAATGATTTTGTGCAGAAAATCTTTTTTCCGGAACTTTGAAAGCAAAGTGAGTGCAGTGTCACGCCGACGATTTTTGTTGTCTTCGGACAATTCATGCAGCACCCATCTGCCTTCCTTCTGAACCTTTCCCATCGTATGTAAACGTACGGAAATGGTTTGCTGCGTAACGCCAAGCTGTTCTGCAAGCTCCTTTTCAGTTTGCGCAGAGTTTATATCCAGCAGTGCTTGCAATTCGTCCGTTTCAATCTTTTAAGAGCGTCCAGCACACGGTTCATCTTCAAGACTGAAATCTCCTTGGAGAAATTTTTGATACCATCTTTTACATATAGTATGACTTACAGCGTTCTCTCCATATGCAGCACAAATCATTACAGTGGCTTCAGCAGCATTTTTCTTCAGATGAAACGCGAAGTGGATGGAAAATCGAATATGCTCTTTTGTTATTGCCATCGAACACTACTGATTTTTGAGATTATGTGCATCAAATGCCAAACCGTATGGCATTTTAGAAGGCCAAATGTCAACGCTTTAAAACCGCAAAAGGATGGGAAGATATATAAAATTTAAATTATTATTTCGGTTGTATGAAATCTAAATCTCTCAGAACTTTTTTGTACACCTAATAAATAGCAAAATTGTGAAAAATTGTACAGTTATAAAATAATATATCGAAAAGTACATTATACTGAATTATTAAAAATTTGGTAAGAATAAAAGCAATAAGTAAAAGAGCGATCGTCGTCGCGCATTATCGAGAGAAAGGGTGGGGCATCCAGAAACGTCGTTACGTTCCTGGGTGTCCTTAGTTGCGGAGCGGATAGGTGGCACACGAGTCGACTGGCGGTACGCGATTCGTCGTAGGTCGCGTACGGGAAGGGCTGGTCTGCCTCAGTCCAACGTAGCGTGTCCCTTGGCGAAGGGTACGCTCACGTCACCCTGAGCGATTCGTGATCCACTCGGAGATTCACGCAATAGTCGGTTTGTGCTAGTCTGAAGGAGTAGGACTGGTGAGTGCCGAAGTACAAACGACGCTTCTACGTCCTCGCCCTCTTTCTCTTTCCGTCGGCGTCGCGGTTCATACATTCTCATAAGAGACAGACATTTCGTGCATCGTACCGTGAACGTTTGTGGACCCGCGCCATTGTACCGTGCGTGGCTATGTGCGTGCGCTATGTGTGGCGGCGGCGGCAGCGGTGTGTGCATGCACGCGGATGAAAGAGAATTCACGACTCTCGACGCGCGGCGCGTAGGCCAGTAATAAACCGAATAGTCGCGCTTAGCCTTCCATATTTTTTCCTCTTTCCGTTTCTCTCCCGTCGCGTTTGAAACGTACGCGCATCCCGAGGTGTACGCGAGAGGGTTACGTGCTCGGGTGAGAGTTGGCGCTCTCGGTACTTTTCGGCACGCGACCGAACGCACCCGATCATCGCGCCGTGCGGAGACAACAGTAGCCTCGCCACCGCCCCCTCTTCTCCCTCCTTTCCCTCTCAACACACACACACACACACGCACGCACGCACGCACGCACACACACGGTCTGGCGCAGAGCGACGGCTAAAAATTGTCTCTTCCATTTCCGTGGTTCGCGAGGTAACGAAAACGCGAGCGACGTCGGCGCGTCCGTTGTCCTCCGTGCGTTTGCACAGCCCAAAGCACGCCGACGTGAGAGAGATAAGCCATCGCGCGGCGTTCCAACGGACACACGCAGTTTCCCGTGTGGCGCGGGAGTGGGCGACATACGCACGCACACATATCCGTACACATATACAGCAAGAGGGAGAGACGACGCGCCGGTCGAGCCTTAAATATCGATTTTGGACGAACCGCGATAGTCCGTCCGCCACGGCGAGTCCGCCACCTATTGTCGAGTGCATGGCACGAGCGACGGGACAACACGCGCGACGATCACGACCACGACCACGGCACGACGGTGCTCCCGTAATAGTCAGCCTGTGACGGACGCGCAACATCCTCGACAAGGCCTCGTATTAGTTTTGCAGGTGTGCTACAAGGTCACTTCGGTGATCTCGCCAAGTGAGTAGTGTAATCGGCGATCTCTCTCTCTCCGTTAACGTGACTCGCCGAGAATCTCGATCTCGCGCGCGCGCGCGACCACGTGTGTGTTGGTATTATTCGCCCGTCTCGCGAGACGAGTTTCGCGGCTGATTACTGGATTGATTGGAAGAGGACTCGGCTATGCTTGATGTTGCCATTCGTGGAAAAGAGCGCGACGAGGGCCATCATCCACCGAGGACGGCGGAGATTTAGGATTGACTAGGCCGAGTGGACGAGTAGACGCGCGCGCGGCGGCGGGTCACCATGGCGCGCCATTGCCGATTGACGACGAGTTGACGGATCGCGAGGCGCGCGTTTGTCCCCGAGGCGTACCGTTAACGTTCGCGCGTTTGCTCCAGCGTTTCGCCGTCGTGACGTGAAGCAGGAAGCAGGAAGAAGGCTCGCGCATCTCCCGGCCATCTCTCTCGCGACATTTGTAAAATCAGGCAAGAATCGACGTACGAATCGGAAGGAAACAACGACAACAAATCGCGACGATGATCGCGAATTCATCTTATTATCGTATTTACCGTTACATAAACATATCTCGTCGAGGCTCGTCGACGGCGTCGAGTCGTCTCTAACCACCGATCATCACCGGAGAAGAGGGGAGGATCTCAGCCGAGGCGAAACGCAAGGGTGAGGCGGGGAGGAGGAGAAGGAAGAGGAGGAGTGCAAGCGAAGTCGCTCGCGCGAGGGAAAAGCCACCGTGAGCAGCAGCGACCAGGCTGCTCTATCCGAAAGAATGGTTTCGAGATATGGCGTCTCGAAGGAGGGCGCAGTGGGTGTCGCCGTCGGTGCCTTAGGACCCATGCATTGTCTAGTGCCACACTGTGGCGGTCCTCATCATCCCCATCATCTCACGGCTTCGCATCCTCAGAATCCGCAGCCAGGTCACAACCACCATGTGCATCCTGGTCATCAACCGCCGCCACCACCGTCGCCGAGTCCCCACCTCAATCAACTGACGCATCCTCAGCTCACCGTCAACATTAGCCATCTCAGTCATCATCATCACCAACATCATCAGCAGCAACCGCAGCAGCAGCAGCAGCCACCACAGCAGCAACAGCGAACGCAAATGCCGCCCCAATACCGAGTCACCGCGAATAGTAAGTAGGAGAGAGAGAGAGAGAGAGAGAGAGAGAGAGAGAGAGAAGAAGAGAG